TGGGTTAGACCAGGGTGATTGTGAGGGAGACACAGAGAGGTATATGGATCTGAGAAATTTTTGGGAGAGGTAAAATCCACGAGCCTTGATGATAGGTCAGCTTTGGAGGGAGGAAGGGGGAGGGGTGTTGGGAATGACACTCTAGTTTCTGGTTTGGAGATCTGGAATGATCTGGAATGTGGTTTGGAGCACTTTGAGTGTGAGGTGCCTTTGGAACCTCTAAGCAGAGGTGCCCAGTGTACATTTCGGCATATGGGGCTGGAGCTCAGGGGAAGGTCTGAGCTAGAGAAATAACTGTGGAAGCTGGGGTGTGTGGGCAGTCACTGTGGTGGCGACCCTGGCCTAGCTGCTCTTTGCCAGATTGGGTTGGAGGGTGACTGTGGATGGGAGCATAGGGTGGGGGAATGTTCCCTCCCTGCAGAGAGGCAGGATGGGTGTCAGTGACAGCCCTCGTGGTTAGGGGACCACAGTCTGTGATGGTGGCAAGCTGGGGAGAGAGGGTCCCCTCCGTGTGTCTCACTGGGCAGGGCAGGGTAAACTATCATGAAGGGGAAGATGAGTGATATCTAGGGGTGTAGACATGAGCTCTGGGTCTGAACCAGAGACCTGGCCCACATGAGTGAGAACCAAGCCTTTCTGATGGCTGGCTCCCTTTCCCTTTGGAACAGAGTGGGAACTTGGAATCAATCCCCTCAGTGTAAAGTCTGGCTTCTCTTCCTCCTTGTGTACGATCTTGAGCAAGTTACCCACCTGCTGTCTCCCTCCTTTTCCTCGTAGGTAAATGCAGGTGAAACCCTTCCTTCCCAAGGGGCTGTACTGGGGATTAAATGGGTAAGAGCACATGCAGCTCTAGCAAGTTCTTGACAGAGTGAACACTTGCTAAGTGTGGGTGACATTTTCCTGCCCACCTCCCCGCCTGCCCCTAGTGTGTCTCAGTACCTGGGAAGCCTCCATTAGCAAAGCCGGTCTGCTTGGTTCAGGCCAGGGGCCTAAAGGGTCTTTGGGTGCCAAAGCCTGATGGGGGAAATGAGCGAGCAAGGCCCCAGGTGCCAGACAGCAGTTGAGGGGCTCAGAGATGCCTGCCCTCTGTGGGGCAAGGTCCCCAAGATCTTGCCAGTCCCCCCAGGTGAGGCTTGTCAAAGTCAGTTTCATACTCAGGAAGGGATTGACTGCTTCTCTTGTCCACTTGTGGTATAGACATGTGTGTGTGTGTGTG